ATGAAATAATAAAACTAAGAATACTTTCATAATATGCCTTTTAAATAAAATAAATTGGATATTTAATGTTTTTTTTAACAAATGGATCTACTGTCATAGCCTGGCTAATGTTAGCATCGAGCTTGATATTATAACCATCACCATGTATATACAATAGGCTATGTAGCCAGACCCAGACATAAATTATACATCAAGCTAGTTGACATCTGTCACACTCAGATAAAATATTTAACTTGACAGACAAATCGGTTGAACTTGAAGATCTGAAGACTGAACTCGTGAACTGTTTTTTGATTTGTGGAGAAAGTGTTTTGAGTATTTTAAATACAAAATTACTCCACTCTAAAGTATTTTGTTACATTTTTATTGGCCCTATCAAATACAAATTACAAAATACTCAAAAGTAATTGAAATACGTATTTCAAATACAAGTAATAGAAATACTGCCCATCTCTGACTACAGTAATGGTACTTCTGTAGTTATTTTAATCCAAACGACAATATTTTCCTCAACCTAACTAAGTATTTCACAGACCTCCGGTTCTGCCGAATGAAGCCGATGCGGAAGTGTCTTGAAACTTGCATTCTCTCTACTGCCCATCAGGGGGCGACTCCTCTGGTTGCAAAATTAAATCTGATTGTATAGAAGTCTATGAGAAAATGACTCTACTTCTCACTTGATTTATTACCTCAGTAAACATTGTAAACATGAGTTTATGGTCTCAATCTCTAGTTTCATGTCTTCTTCAATACAGCATGATGTTCATTTAGTACATTATGGTCCATTTAGAGTCAAATAGATCAAAAAGCAGAGTATGCTTTAGGGCGGACTTAGTGTGATTGACAGGTCGCTGACGCTACCAGAGACGTATATACGGTATCTCTACGTAACTCCTCCGCATTCCATGGTAACTTCCGTTCATCAGTTGCAAAAAAAAAAAAAAAAAAAAAAACATGGCCACGGCGAATTCACCGAACTCGAGGCTTCAAAACAGCAGTCCACCAATGGGTGACGTCATGATGACTACGTCCAGTCTGTGGTATTTCACTATCTTTTTCTAAACCTAATCAAGTAGTTTTGTTGCCTAAACCTAACTGTCTAACGTTCATTTTACAATACTGTCTGCATGCAACGAGCAGAAATGTACATGCGTTGCTGTTTTTCGTAGGAAAATGCACAATTGTATTTGGATACGTTGACCCATCGTGTTCCAGATAGATTAATTTTAGTTGGTTTTAAACTGAATGTTATTTAAATGGACTGTATTTCACAACGTGATCAGTAATATAGCAGCAAACAAGTGTTAGCTACGTAAAGATCTAGTGGAGTAATGTCTACCTGAGCAGAGAATGAAGTCACTGTACCTCTGGGTGTGTTGTCTTCCGAGCTTCTTCTTGCTTTGCTGACAGCCAGTCCGGCTGTGCATGCCTTATAGTGCATGTTACTGCATGTGAGCTAGCCACACCGGTTAGCTCACTGCCGCTGCTCTGCACTGCTGTCATTTGACGGTTACAGCTGTCACCGCCGCCCCGACCGACAGCGTCGTCGCGGTAAGCATATCCACCCTCCGGCTACCCCTCAGGTAAACACAGGTAGCTTCTGTCAGCTCTTTAGCCATGGTTTGTAGTGTTAGCGCTGTTAGCACCGTTAGCTGAGAGATGCCGGCTCGCCGTCGAGAGGCAATGCTCCCAATCTCGTATCTTGCACGAGATTGGGAGCTATTGGGAGCTATACACTATGCATTCAACAAAAGGATATTGTATGTTATTTTAATGCAATTTAACTGTCAATGTTTAGGTTGGTTTGGTCAAGTTTGCATTTGTAGTTCTACAACTTGGAGCGGCATGGAGCTAGACATTTGGATAATTTATCCAATACTTGAGCCAACTATTTAAAGGATTTATCCATTACTATTAGCTATCTGTTACAACCATGTATTATTTTAGATCTGTTTTAGAACTGTTTTGACTTCTAACACGTACTAGTGCAACAGTGAATATATTTTAATTGTAATCTATATTTTACAATATAGAGGAGCTACCCCACTATCTTTACACATAGCTCCTGGCACCTGCAGAAGTACCCCCGGTGCAGGCTGTTCACTGTACCACATTTCTTTTCACATTAAGATGGGTAGTTTGTCCGATATCTGTTTCAACATTTCCAAACAGCACGGAACATAAATGAACATGAAAGACAGAAACTCTCGAGAAACCCTTTTAATCACGATAAACATAAGTAGTCCAACAAAGCACTACAGTATTCAGAAAAACAAATACAGCAGCACTGTCTTTGATCATCATTTGATAGTGTGCTGACACGCAAACTCTATTAAGCTGTCTTCAAATATGCAAAAATTATATGATTTTACAATGATTACATATTCACTTCCCCAGCTGGCTGGCTCCAAGCGTCTCCATTTGTCATCGACTATTGTGTCCAATTATATGATTAGCTTTGAACACTCCAGCACTTCGAGAGCTCTCGTGTGTTCTGCCGCGCCGAGTGATTCACAAACAAAGTCATTACAACATGTATTCACACATATCAAATAACAAAACAGATGGCCACTGCGCTCGCCGCCTGATTTGTTTTCCACACGAGTGGTGAAAAAAAAGAAAAAAAAAAGTATTTTGTGCGGGCTGTGTTTAATGCTGACTGTTTTTATTCCCAAAGAAGAGCAGCTGGCTGTCGCGCTGTTAGATCAGCTCCTATGAAAGACAATCTTGTTTTCATTAATTTCTCTACAACAAAGGCACTTGTTGGGAAGATTTAGAATTATAGCGGGTAAAGCTTCCGGATAATTCATCACAGAGACTTGACAGGAAACTTAATTGTTTTAAATGCCAGTTGCTGTGAGCAGCGTGGCTGGTTTTCCTTTGATGTCTAACAGGTGGGACAGATCGACGACCCTCTGATGTTTCATTTGACCTTTGACCTCTTGGTTATAAATCCACTTGTAGTCCCCCGGCCCAGAAACCTATCAGCATGTGATGAACTGCAGTTCCCAGAATTCCATGTGAGATGAACATCTTGTAGTCTGCCTCCTCTTATTAAGCACAGTGTAAATCTAGAGAGTCCCTCCCCTGCCGGTGCCCCCCATGGGACCTTATATCAGACTGCCACACATGTTTTGGAATGTATGTACGGTAGACAATTGCAAGAGACAAATCAGTTTTTGATCCCCTTTGAATTGTGTCATGGTTTCAACATATGATATTTGTCAATGTAAAAGATGATTTTGCAAGTCAAGAACGTTGCAGGTTGTTTTTAGGTTAGTCGTCATATCATTTAGTTTTGTGTGAAACCGCTCAGTGACCTACATCTCTCGTCTCGCACGATGAGACGATGCATGTCACCAACATGGCCGTTGGCTAAGTTCCACGCACAAATGTAATGTTATCTTACCTGATGTGTTTTATCCAGCGCCTCTTTTTGTCAGCTGGGAAGCGAAAGAAGGAGCGAGACCCGTTGATGGTGTGAGTACATCCTGCTATGAAACAAACTTCGGCGAGAGACGTCACTTACGTGACTTTTAGGTGTGTAGTCTTTCTAATTACATATCTTAAGTCTTTTTCAACAGTTTTAAAGACAAGCTGTGACTTTTTTTACATCATATGTGTAATTCATGGCAGAATTCAAATGGGATCACTAAGTTATTTGTGATTTCACCGTTAGCTACCATACATATGTTTTTCCCAAAATAAGGTCCCATGGTGGTCACCGGAAGGGGCGGGACTTCGCCTTGTTACATCCCACAGTCTAACCGCTGTACAAACCAACCAAGAACCACATGTACTCCCAGTGCTGTTTATGCTCTTACCACTATTACATGAACTTATCTCTGAGGGAACTCAACTGCATTTTCTTATAAAATTGTGGAAAAAAAAACATTAAAACAACCGGAATCTGAATTGCACAGTATAACACAATGTATGTAGTTCTGTTTGCAATTGATTGGCCATAGATAACCATTCAGAGAAATGCTATGGTGCAACTACATAGTTATTACTCATCTACAATGACTCACTGTCTAATCCAGTCAAGACTGTGTACGCGTGACAAACACACTAACACGATTATTCTAACATTTGGCAACACCGAATCAAATTCTTGAGCTCGGGTGACGATTGTGTTATCAAAACCGTCAGTTTCTGCTCCTTCTTTTCAAATGAGTCTCTTCGTAGACATAAGACTGTCACACATTCACTACCCTTCTATCTCATCGCTCGTCTGCCATTTGAGGACTAACTTGGGGACAAATTGCGGTGCTTACACTCAGCGGCAGAGACGTGACATTAAAAGTCTCCCCGTGCAGAAAAAAGGTCTCTCTTAAGGTTACGGTTGCTTTAAATCTAGTAAATAGCCTCGCTGACATCTCTTGAGGATGTTACTGTAAATGCACTTCAAGTGGCTGAATCATTTAACGTCTAATCAATATGATTCGCGTTGCACCACCACCAGACTTTAGTCTGACTCCCGGTTGAGGAAGCTACGACTGTAGTTGACAACTTCTCTGTGGTGAGGTGGGATGAGCATTTAACAGAATCAAGACTGGAATCTTTGCTTTTACAAAGCCAGTTGAAGTGAAATATGATGCAGAAACAAAAGTTAAAAGTAAAGATCCCTAAAGCAGAGGATGAAAAATCTTGCACCATCCACTTCGAAAGTAAAGAAAGCACAGCTTTGCTGTACTCTGGCAGGTAGATAAGGTCTAGCTGTGCCATGCTGCCATCACCTGGCGGATGAGCTAACAGCAACATCCCGGTCGATTGCGGTGTGTGTTTAAAATCATGTCTTGTGGCTTCACAAACACAGCGAGGTGACAGCATGTCAAGCATGTGCGTGACATGCGCTTGACATCAGGCAGCGTTGATGGTTATATTTACACCACGATGCAGCGCTGAGTTGCAGATGTGGTGCAGGGACCAAAACAAAAGCAGCAACTTTTTCAGAACCCACCATCATTTCCTGTTGGTCTCCTCCCACCCCCTACCTCCCACCTAGCGTTGAGGCAGTCAGGCCCTTTTTATAGCTGTTGGTTGACGTTGCTAAGAAGAGTTTCGGTCTTTATGCATAATAACAAAGTTAGTTGTGAGCTTTATTTTTTTTTGCCTGCATGTGTTACACCTGAGCCGCAGACTCACAAAGATGCACCAGAAAACATCTCAAGTCTCATGGGTAAGTCAATCAGCTCCGAAACACAGATGTTTTTTGCCACAACAGCAGCACTCCCATACTGTGAGTGTAAATCACGCCTTGGAAATTAATTGCAAGTTTTTGATCCTTTTCATAACGAACCACGTACACAGCGAAGCATTCAGTGTTACATTGTGCCAAAGCGCTCACGGTGCACATCAGTGTAGCTTGTTCGACGTGGGAGTCTGACGCCCGTCTCATATCATTGCGCTGGTCAGGTTGCTCATCGACCGGATGCTGCCTGTGTGCCTGCTCTTCCGCCTCACGCTCCGCAGATAGTTCCTGTACAGGATCACGCTGATCACCCTGTCCTGGAACTGCTTGGAGACAATGTAGAACAAGATGATGTCCAACACCGTGCTCAGGTTCATCAGGAATGTGGTGAAGACCGCCCACGTGCTGTACCCCCCATCTATGCCCGTCCCCACCAAGCGGAGCACCAGGCACACGTGGAAGGGCACGAAGCACACCAGCACTTGGACGATCAGCGTGATGATTATCCGGATGGACTTCTGCTTCACTTTGGGCTTGAGCTTGGAGGTGCGTCCGTGGATCAGGTTGTCCACGATGACGACGTAGCAGCCGATCATTATGGCTATGGGCAACAGGAAAAAGAAAATGAGCCTCACGAAGTTGACGGGGTTGTCGTGGCGCATGTGGATGATGTCTTGCATCTTGATGCAGGTGGTGAAGTTGGAGGCGCGGTCGGGGTCTTCCTCGGAGAAGAGCAGGGGCACGGTGCTGCCGAGGGTCATGAGCCACACGCCGAGGCTCGCCACCACGGCCTTCGGGACGTTCCTCAGCTCTTTGCCGTGCTTCGGCTGGACGATGGCCATATAGCGGTCCGCGCTGATCAGAGCAAACAGCCACAGGGCCATGCAGGGGTAGAAGATGGTGAGGGCGGCGCTGATGCGGCAGAAAAGATCTCCAAAGGGCCAGTAGTCCTGGTGGTGGTAAACCATTCGAAAGGGCAGCAGCAGGATGAAAGTGAGGTCCACCATCGCCACGTTTATCATGTAGACGGTGACCGAGTTCTTCTTCTTGGTGGTGAGAGAGAACACCCACAGAGCGGTGATGTTGACTACGACCCCTACAACGAAGACGAAGGAGTAGAAGACCAGGCCCGCGATGCGGTACTCCACCGACCCCTGCTCCGGCTGCACAGCACCAGACTCCACAGACATGTTGGAGAAGTTTAGATCCAGCTTCATTCTGAAACTTACAGAGTACAGCAACATACGTGTTTATTTCACTTGAGCGATTCCTTTATCATCATTTTTTCACTCTTTATAGCCCATTTGTTTTCATGATTGGAGCTGAATCCTGTTAATTCACTTATGTTGAAAGGTCATGTGCTACTAGCTCCTAATGAGGAAAAAGTGATATTTTGGCTGCATAGGTGGTTTCTCTACATATACAAGTATGGAATTGATTGAATATAAGATGGGTAGTTCTGTAATTTACTATAAACTACAAAAATACAGGATTACTGATGGCAAGTTTGACAAATAATCAGTTAGATTTTAAGTTTCAAATTAGGAGGAGCAAGACAAGGTAATGCAACTTACTTTTGAACATTATGTAGAAGTTACTCCTCATGAGTCCACAAAGTTTAAAGTCTACGGAAGAAAAAGAAAAAATCAGAAAGCATGATGAAAATGGAATTTTTTCAGCAAAAGTACAGTGAAAGGTTCTGTGTTTTAAGAGAAAAAAATAAGTGAAAGGATTGTGTTTCCAGGTGGTGACAAAGCCAGAGACCACGTCTATATGAGAACACATCTCTGTGTTTTACAGTTTGCACAACCTGCTGCTTGATAATTTGAATACCTATTTTTACATGCCGTGCAGCTGCACTGCGAGAGACAGAGGAAGAGAAACAGACCATGCCTGTCTAGATGTGTCATTAATTAAAAAGTGGCATAAACAAGCAAACGGATAGCAACCAGAAAGAAGCACTTACACATCACACAGAGTACAGAGTGGAATCATTTGTGAGGTGAGGGGAACAATGTGGAAGTGAAATTTGTATAGAAGTCGATGCTGTCTTGATAATAAATCACGTGACTTCTGTGTCTGACATTTAAGCATTATTTCAACAGTACTGTACTGTCCGCGTGTGATCGTTACAAATCAGAAAAACAATTTATGTAAAGAATAACACAAATACGTTTGTCCAGAGAAACACACACACACACACACACACACACATCAAGTGACTATAAAACAAGTCTGCCAAAATGACTTTTTCCCCGTCTGTCTGAAAGGTCGGACGGATCAGGTAGCCTTGCCTGAACAATAAAAGACTGCACTCACCACAGAAATCACACAAACATCTTGACAAGCTAGCGCCAACAGGTTTATGAAGTGGCGCGGGGCGATTTATCGGAGCACTCGGCCAAAAAAACAGGGAAGTTGAATGCCTTTTTTCTTAAAGGGTAATGTGATAGAAACGGTGGCTGGGCGTAAAGCCCCCAGCCACTTCCTGTGCAGTGTACTTTCGCTACTTCAGATTCCTTTACAGTATCCACGTAGTCGGAACACAAAGGGCTACAGCTTTTCCACAGTCTGCAATTACAACCCCCTTAAAGAAAATGATGTGCCATTAGAAGTGGGAGTGTGTTTGGCAGGCAGAGAGATGGCAGATTTAGGGCGAGTTATTGATTGGAAAAGTGGGGTCTGTCACAGCACATTAGTTCTCAGGGGAGTAATCCACAGCAGGTTGCTGTGAGAAGCATCTGCTGCTGGAGAGAAGTAATTAAAAACAGGATGTTGAGGCAGTTGCCATATAAACAGGAAATAAGACGGCGGTAATAGACACTTCATGCTGATGCTGTGAGATGGTTTTACACCACGTCGACTTAATGGATGCAAAGCGCGTACCTCAGGTGAAAAAGCTCAAGGTCAGGCCGGACCCATATTGAATACAGATTAGTGTGTGTGTGTGTGTGTGTGTGTGTGTGTGTGTGTTAGCCGGTGACTACTATGAATTAGGACATTTGGCTCGGAGACATTGTGTAATCCAAACTTCTCCTAACTGGTACTTTCCATTCCCATTATAGATCTTGTGAAATAGAGAGTAAGTCCACACTTTCCCACGACTTACAGCACGACGCTTCCTCCTTCGTGCTGTCTGGTTTACCCCTCCATTAAAAAAACAAAGGTCACGTCTATCTTTCACATATTTAGTTTTTGATGATTAACTTACTTCCCTGCTTACTACATTATTTAGTGTTTTTATCACGGTGTTTTGTACTGGAAGCTGCTCATTCGGTCTAATTCTTATTCCCAGGAAATAACTCTCTATCTGCTTGTCCTCTCGATGTGTCTTAAAAAATCTCATGCCAGATGGCGCTTTGTGTTCATTGCAATATGTTGTTATGACAACAGTCTGTGCGATGTTTTCCTCTCTTTGATACTTGTCATGTGGCTGCCTCAGTACGTCCTCCGCTCCATAATAAATCATTGGTCTTTATTATTCTTGTGTGTGTATATGTGTGTGTATATATATATATATATGTGTGTATATATATGTGTGTATATATATGTGTGTATATATATGTGTGTATATATATGTGTATATATATGTGTATATATATGTGTATATATATATATGTGTGTGTGTATGTGTATACATGTGTGTGTATATATGTATATGTATATATTTTATATATATACAACTATATGAATTTATTTATTCTGACAGGTATCTATCTTCTGTCTTTTTGCCCTTCCCTGAAATCATTTTGTGTTATACTCTGCCATTCTTGTTTAATATCAAACAAACAAAGATGAATTGATACTGTTTTATACACCTGTCAATATTTAGATCCGGTATAAACTGCCTGTGGAGAGTCCATTTAACTTCCTGTTACCGTCACCACTTTACCCTGCTTCACACTGTCCTCTAGAGGCCGAAGATAATCACTGCACAGATCGTCAGAGGTGTAAGCATAAATCAGTATTATAGAGGTATAATATCATGTGTTAGATATTTCAACAGTAGCAAGTTTTTTCCAAACTGTTTTACTTTTACTTTTACAGTACAAAATAGCTTAGAATTGTATCTAAGTTATCGTTTTATGTATTGTTCTATTGGTATGACCCATTTTTAATATTGTCTGTCTTTCTCTCTCTCTCTCACTGGCTGCTTTCTTTTTAAAAGTTAAAGACCCCCTCCAGACATTCTTTGAAAGATAAAAATAAGTACTCGACTTTGATTAATAATGTGTGTGCACGTCTTAAAGGGGCAGCGTGTGGCATTCACGGAGATCTGTTGCAGAAATGGAATATGGTATCGATAAATATGTTTTCTTTAGTAGATAATCACTTGCAATTAAGAAATGTGTTTTCGCTACCGTAGCCATTTATATCTATATATTCAAAATAGTCTGATGGCAGTTTGTTTGTGAAAACAACAAAACAAATTTTCCTTTTTTTGTGTGACCAATGAATGTCATTGGTTTCAGCAAAAAAAACACATAGTTTGGTTTAGGAGAAATGTCATGAATGCGTCACTTCACGACAACACTTTGGGACACGAACACCGATCTCATGGTTGAAAGTCCTGTTTGTTTGACCCATCAGTTGATTTGGTCTGCAAACTCTCCGCTAGTTGCCAGCAAATCCTTCATACTGGACCTTTAAACTCACTTTTACGGTGAGCAGAGAAACGTTCCCCCTTCAGCAGATGAATGTGAAAACATTGTTTTTAAACTCTGCACGATGAAGGTCCGAGTGAAGTTACAATAGAGCTCTGAACTCACTTTCATTGTGCTACTGGATTCTCCGATGCTTCCAGCCCGTCCCTTTAAAACAAGCGCTTTCCTTTAATCCCCAAAAGAAATCAGGCGACAGAAGAAAAGAGATGAAGCAAATGGCAATTATACATGTGAAATACAGTGTTCATTGCAAAGCTGGTCGCAAGACTATCAGCAAGGGACATATTTCAGTAAATTAAATTACCAAATATAAAATAAATCATATGAGGAGGTCAATTTACAAATAAACATATAACACTACCCTGTAGAAAATAGTGAAAATTCATCACAATTTCTTAAAGCCGAAGGGGAAGTTTTCTAATGTCTTGTTTTGTTCCAAGCAACAGTACAAACCCAAAGATATATCATTTATCCAATAAGAAAATGAAAGGCAGCAGATGCTCAGTATGGGTTGGATGATGCATGTGTCAACTTCTGCCTTTTCTTTTTGCTGGATATTTTTTACAACCAGGTAATGTTTGGCGTTTCTGCTTTATTACTTTAATTAATCGATTATCAACACAGTTCCTGTCGTTGATTGCCCGTCCCATTGCAGCTCCAGTTCCCTGCTCTAGTATTGTACTGTGGCTACACAGCAGCATTGAGCTCATGTTTCCACAACAAGCAGAAGGGCTAAACTGTATTTAGCTCAGAGTAAACACCCGTATTGCTCTGTGGTTTTGAGGGAGGCTCGGCGGTGGCTTCGCTGGTCGTTGAGCTTCACTATCAGTGTGAAGAAATTGACTCTGCTGAACTCTGATTTGCTCTGTCTTCACCCGTGCCGTGTTTCCGCGCCATCTGTTGTTGAGGCCTTGCGGATGTATGAGTGTGATCACACATGGAGAAGGGTTGAGATAAATATTGGGTCTGTTTTAACTGCTGTTCTTTCCCTGATGCTTTACGAAGTGTCTGTGATACAAAGCGATATTTTCTGACAAGGGATTTGTAAATATATGCTGAGCACCTGTAACGAAACTAAGAGCAAAATGAGTGGGCTGTGTTATGTCTGTAAATGACTTCCTCAAAATCCAGAACTGTGAGCAAACCTGTTGCAAAATACTAACGGTATTATCCAACATCAAAAAGAGCATTGAAAAGCACAAATATAAATCAGCAACATAATATATAACTATATCATCTATTTAGGAAAGATCCCCAGGGAATCAGCATATGCACCACCCACACCTGATGCTCAGAGTAGATCCACAGGATGTGTTACTGATTTTACTCTACATCACACTTCTAGAGCTTCCTATTAACTTTAAAGGTCTGCTTATGATGGGGTGTTAAACCAGCCGAGATGTTCCCCATGAATCATGTTCATATTCACTGCACGATTCTGCAGTGCGTGATTTGCATCGGCTGCCAACGTACAGCACAGGAAGCAGTGTGGCCTCTATGTTCCACATTACTAAGTGTAAAGTAATGTGAAGGTGTTGAAAAGACTTGTAACACATCAGGCCTCTCATGCTAGAGATCGTTTGGCTTTCTGCTACAGACCAACAAGTTGTTTTTCTAAAACCTTACCTAACCTTAGTTGTTTGTCATAACCGTGGTCTACATCCTGAAACCTAAAAACACCTTAACCATACTAACCATTTTAGAAACTGTTGGCAGAAACATCCAATATCACGGTTTGGTCTTTAATAGCTTTTTGTATATTATATATAAAATTAGGACCAATATTGTGTACATATTATCATACATCCAAGTTATACTATAGTACATTTTTAAAGGGGAGCACCACCTAAATGAAGAATTCTAATATGTTATTTCCATGGCCTAGGAAAGTTCAATCAATATATGTGAACAGGAGCTGCTCTCTATCTCCCAAAGGAAGAAACCACAGAAGGAAGTCTCAAACCTGTGTCATCAAGTTCAAAGTGTGGAGCTGCTCCATAGACAATGAATGCTCGAATGACTTTGTTCTTTTTCTCTTTTATACCCAAATGAGCTTGATTGGATTGTAATGTTGTCAGTTGTGAAACACGTGTATCATATACTGTCTACGGAGCAGCTCCTCACTTAATACTTGATGGCATCACAGATTTGAATTTTATCACTATAGTTTTGGGATTTAGGTGCGAGTTGTTCAAATTTACAAATATTTTTGCACCGTCTTAGTCAACAGGAATAACATGTAGGAATTTTGAAAATGTAACTACACCTGCCATGTTTCAAAAATGTAATATGGTGTGTACTTTTTTGGTGGCGTCAGTGGAATTGAATTGAAATGAGCACAGGCCACAAAATGGATCCTTGAGGAACTCCCTTGGTTGACCCATCTGATGTTAAATCGTGACCTTCTAAGCTAATTCTGGGAAATATGTTCACCCTTAAGTAACATTCTAAAAGTTGGATCAGATCGAACAACCAGGTTCCCTGTTAACAAAGTGCAGCGGGTGGGGTTTCAAGGTACAGTGTTTTTTTTAATCTTGTGCAACATACCAAGATATGCACCAGCAAAGAAGACTGCAAGTTTGTAAACATGGATGCAAACAATGCTGGATTCAAAGTACTTACAAATTTGGCTCAGCA